CTTCGATCTACAAGCAATCAATCATACTGATGTCATAGACGCAATCATTTATTATTCGCATATTCTTAGGATTTTTTTCCGTCCTTGAAGAAACAAAACGTTCTTTGATTTATCTTTAATAAAAGGTAGCCTTCTTGGTGTTAACTGTGCACCAGCCGGAGTTGTAATCACGAGTTGTAATTTAATATTTCCAACAACAGTGCATTAAAATTAAAAATAATAATGATAATTAACATTCAGGCCCAAAGGCTGGGCCTGAATTTTGCTTTTCAATTTTTCCCGTTACTGAAAAGATTCCTGTTCCCAAATTGCGCCCTCGTTGTGCGAATCCTGGCCGTTCATTGCGTTCTCGAAGGAAACTGCCGTTCCCCTTTAGTTCGTAGTGACTGCATCCTCCATCTCATCTGCTGCTTTCCCTGGCGCCTTTCTCCCTAGCTGGTTGGTGCATGGTTCCCATCAGGTGATCTGAGAGGGAGCCTAATTGTTGCCATACAGGCCTATGACCTATGCGTAGGTAATACGGAGTACGCCTTCATCTCCTAAGTAAACTTAGACTACAGAGCCTTATTCAATGAAACTCAAGCGCAAAGCAATTCCATCGCCAAGCCGCAATAAATATAACATAGAGTAACTTACTAGGAAAATGAATATTGCAACCGCGTTTGTTTGATCCGCTTTTAGAGAAAACCACCCCTACTCGGTCCAAAACCAGGCTCCGATGAGCATTCCCGAGTGTAAACTTTTGCTTCTGTGTTTGTCGTATGCCTTCAACGACAAAAACAAATTACGTACGTGGTACAAAGTATTTATCAGAGCTGCAAAAACTGCACCGACCTTTCAGTAGTCTTCTTTTTTCTGTAGCACGAAGCGAAGATAGCTATGGCCAACAGCAAAATGGCAGTCGTGACACCAAGTGATATGTAAATGATCTTATTAATTGAGGTCGAATTTCTCGAAGAGGGTTTCGTCGTTGCTAAACAGGAAATGATATAAAACTAGTATTATAAATCAGAGGCGAATGGGAAGGTTTTGCCAAAAAGAACAAATTCCAATTCGATCTGAAACGCATGGACACGTTTCAACGAGTTCTTATGAACTAAGTGCTCTGTGGGTAAACAAATTACAATTGTACTTTTTTTAGAAGAGGTTTAATCATGCCCGATCAGTAGTCTTTACTATTCTGTCCTCGAACAGCGCAGCGACGTAACTACAATGGAATAGGGGAGTTGTCCACTACGCTTACGCGTGGTGCGCTCCCTCATCTCTGTTCATGACCCGGGTATCATATTCTATGAACAAAAAGTAGCTAAATTCCTTTTTGTGCAACCCAAACAGACATTCTTTGCTTCCTGAGGTTGGGGAGGGCTTCAAAGGCCCCAGGCTTTATTACTTTAAAACCTTTCATGATGCGACAACCAAAAGTATACTAAATGAACTTATCATTTCTAAAATCTAGGCCAGTACAATTTGATTCACAAAATGAGGATATGTAACCTCATTAGTCAGTCTTTTTATAAAATACAGTCGATTCGTGACTGAATAAGCTAGTTGCAAAGTCAGTTAGTCACAGTAAATATCTTTTAATAATCAGTCGGTGAGACAGTCTGTGAGAAACTCTGTCCGTCAGTCAGTTAATAAGCTGGTCACTCAGTCACTCAATCAGTTGGTCAATTAATAGTCCGAATGGTTGCGCCATCTTTTCCTTGGTAAAGGTCTCATTATTTCTCTTCATTTTCCAGTTATTTGTTCAGCTGATTGGGGTGCGTAGACTGGAACCGGCTTTGCAAGCACAAGCTAAGCATTGTCGTTATTTCCTTACTGCAAAGCATAATTCAGGATCAAGTAGCGGAGGTAACTTATACGAGAATGTCATCTTGTGAGTCAAAAGATAATCTGGAATGTTTTATGCAAATATAGCAAGAAAGTATAACATCGCGAACGCGTTAGCTGAGGCGACGATAGACAAAGATTTATGAATTCCATAAAATCACTATCACCACATGAATATGGAAGCGTCTTTTGTTGACGAAGGCTCTTATGATATCGTTAACCAAGTACATAAGGTTGTTTTCCCGTTAGGTCTGATGTCGGTTTCATGTCGTGAGACGATCCGGTTTCAGGCACTTTGTTGTCAATTGATCTACCACTGTCACGTAATTAAATTGGGGGCGTAAATAGCGAAAAAAGAATATCCGCGGCAGGTGCCTCCTCTCCTTTTCTGCCCTCGTGGGCGCGTGCGTCCTCGAAATTTCTCTCTTTTTTCTTACAAAACCGGCCCATGCTGCACATACTATTCAAATAGTTGATGATAAACCACTGATCAACCCACTTGTGGATATGCGTGCTACCACTTAATCGTTTTTCATTAATTTGCAATGTTCATTTATCACACTGTCTCATTTCTTGTTGCTCACTGAGGAAACTATACATGTCATTAAGGCTTTTTCTACTTGTGCATGAACACCTTGACAAAAGTAAAAGAACGCCTTCAAATGATGTAATGTTAATTTTACCAAAAGAAAGATAAAAAAAAGAAAAAGAACAGGAAAAATAAAGAAGAAACAAACATTACGGGATCTGTTGGGTCTGAGTAAAAGAAGGTGGCAGGAAAGTGGTTGTTGTGGCCAAAACAGGAGGGAAGCCTAGAGATTGAATTTTTAAAGGAGAACGCGCTCATCATTTACGAAACATACACAAACGTCAACCAGTACCGGAATAGTTTAAACTGATTTCTGAATCATAAAGGTGACCCATTCAAGCATATTCTTAATTTTCTCTGAAATGAATGGCTTCTCATTGCAGTGCTACCACTGCATTAAGACGTTTCTGGTACTCTTACATGAACATGATCATAAACCAAGTCCATGTGAGAGTTTCAACTGGAGGTACAGTTATTTAGCTGGTTTTATAGATCCGGTTAATTGATGGCCATCATTAATCATATGCATATCACTTGACACTTACCCTTATAAATCAGTTCAATATCCTCAGATAGTTCACTGGACCAGCCAGTAATGTTGTTCATTGCTTTGCATTTATAAACCCCTTTGTGTTTTTCTTGGATGTTATACTTGTGAAGAACAGATGTTACGGCATCCTCTTCATCGGGCTGCTGATAGAGGAAAAAACTTTCAGATCCGTGAGTGATACGTTTGCCATCTGGCCTGTACCAAACAACACGTGGACGAGGCCATCCCTTAAAGGAACACTTCAGTTCTATTTGTTCCGTGTCAGGAGTGAAGAAAACAGGGGAACTTGCATTTTCGACCTTCTTTATGCCACCTAAGAGAAACAGATTATCAGGCCACATTCATCACTTACGAGGAATTTATAGCTTCTGTACGTAGGGAACGGTGGATCAGTAATAAATGTCTCAGTGCGGATCCTTCTTAAATTTACCCTTAAAAACATTGATTAAAGTTCCCCTCACATAAATCTTTGCTTACATTAATTGTGACCGTGAAAAATAAAAGAATGAAAACCAACGAAGAAAAAAAAAGAAACGGTGTTGT